AAGAGCAGCTATCTCATCCCGAGACCGATCAACAATCCCACGAGCTACCCTTAGCTCGTCACGAAGAGATGTCATAGATCTCTCGTTCTCGAGCTGAGCAAAGGCAAACTCAGCTCGATGCTTCAAGGCAGTGTCCGCCATTTGGAGACGCCTATTCCGCTCATGTTCGAGATCGTCGCGTAACCCTTGCGTTATGCGATCAAAGAAGCTCTCGGGAACACACCGATCCACATGATCGTGTGGAGAGCGTCTTTCCTCCTCCTCCACCTCCATTAGAGGACTCTCGCGGTGGACAGCGCTATCTAGTTGAGCAGCTGTTGAACCACCGCGACGTGAACGGGCGTCGGACGAGTTATCTCGTCCGGTGGCGCGGCTATCCCCCGTCCTGGGATTCTTGGGAGCCCCGCTCCCAACTGATGATCGACGTACTGGGTCTGGTTGAGCAGTACGACGCGGCACATCCTGTGCCGCAGAAGGACCGCCGGAGAAAGTCTTCCCGGCACGGTCGTAAAGGGATTTCCAGTTGTCAATCCCTTCGTACATCTCAGTAGAGATACGTACGCGCCACCACGGGCTAGTACGGAGGTAAGACTCCTTAGGTGCTCGTGCAGAGTTGTTCACACAACATGGGCACGATTCTCCCCAAGAGAGGCAGGGTAATCCCTTCTCCCTTGACAGAAGATGCAGCTTGTAGCGTGCACCTGTCGGGGTTCGCTTTTCAAACTTATCACGAGCTTTGATAAGTTTGTCGTTACAAGCGTCACGACCTACATCCTCAAGGTTACGGATGTAGGCGTTCCACGCTTGAAGCAGTGAGGGACCATCACGTTTGTGATTCCTACTGCACCATCGATGTCTAAAGAAAGCATCGATGAAGAATTCATTCTCAGCGCGATAGTTTTTCGCGCTGGGGTCAAGGTGATGGATCCTTGACGAATCGAACAATCGTGTTCGATAACGATCACTCGTCGTCGCCGACAAGTGATCCATGACGGATTTTGGAGGCATCCATGCCTTCTTTTCAGGAGCGAGACGCAAGACATTGCGGTCCCGCTCTTCCTGAGACGTGCCGACAGAAGTACTGGCACCTCGCTGTGAAGTGGTGTCCATAGGAGAACCAACACCACTGTGAGCGCCCGAGTCTCGCGACCTCGAGCGCCTTCGCTTCGGCGATGGTTCATCTGATTCATCAGATGAACCAAAGATGCTGCGACGCAAAGCATCGTCCATGCCACGCTTGGCAGGCGGCTTAGATTCAATCGCCGTCGATACGGATCCGTCATCCGTATCAGGAGAGTACGAGACACCGAGCTCGTACTCTGTGAAGACACGAGTGTCTTCATGACCAGCGCCTGCATCACCAAGTGACACAGGCTGGGTCGCTTCAGCAACCGATGAGACATCAGTTGCTGTTGTTTCTGCTTCGGCGTCCGCACAGAGACGTGCGGACGCGCTCTCGGCGGCCTTGCTCGCGCATCGCATGGGCTTGTTACCCATGCGATGAGATGTTGGAAAGTGGACGCGGACCAACAAGTGCAAACCCTGTCCCAAATGATTTGGGACGAGTATCCATTTAGTCAATCAGTCACTAAAGTGACTGATGGTTAAGGGGGGTGATGTTACGGGGTGAATCGTTACATAACAATTTATAAGAGATTGTTAATAGAATATAACTATAAGAGTTATGTTCTCAGAATATTGTCATAAGGACAAATATTCTGCAGCACTTACGCGTAGTTCCTAATTGGTTGATATAGGCCATTATATCAACCAACGAAGACGCGCCACGACAGACGCACGCAATGAGTGGTGAGCAGATAGCTGATTTGCACATTTGTATTCAGACATAGTTAGATGAAGATAAATAGTGATTTATTGCAGACATTAACTATACTAAATACAGTTCTACTTTTTACTTTAACCAAGTACTCGCTTCTTCTTACCGTCTTCCTCTGCACGTACGAGTGTACGTGAAGTTACGAGGCACCGCCTTATTCTGTCATCAGAATAAGTAGCTTGTACTGTCACCAGTACAAGCTTCAGGGTGCCCCGTTACAGTGCCCCGCTACAGTTTAGACTTTGAGGCCTTAGTGTCAAGTTACAGAAACTTTCCATTAACCATGTGCATTCAACTTAAGCGGCGTCAGCAAGCATCCCTGGTTTATGCAGCATATAAGGCGTCCTTTAGAATTGCGAAACGGCTTTAGATTCTTACTCTGTGACGACGCCCGTGACGCGCTAGACATAGTATCACTGCATGATGGGCACCTCCAAAGAATGTGGCGTGATAGTAGTGAAAATGCAGTAGAAGTGCTTGCAGGACCCCCGGCAGCGCAACATATCAACGATGCCGGGCCAATCATGCTGCACGAAGCAGCCAAAAAAAAGCAGTATCACCCTTCAGCTGTTGCGCTAAAAGTACTCCTTGCCTCTACCTCACGGAGACACCGCCATGTGCTACACGATTGCTAGGATACTGTTTACGCTTCGGTACCCTGGAAAAGAACCTAATTGGATTTCAAATAAGGTTCTTCTCCAGGGTACGGAAGCGTAAACCGCATCCTAGTAGGTGTCGTTTGCATACTATGATATGTCATTCCGCTTGTACTCCAATACAACCCTTCCTAGATCATCAACTAGTGAGCATGATAGCTAGTGCTACGTTAGTGCTGTTCTACTCAAATGCGATTAACGTGAGCAACTGAGTGTGGGTCAACAGGAAGTCGGAACGCCACTAGTGTGCTGTTCCCGTACGTAGTATGGCCAGTCATGCTGAGCAGCTGTCCGAGAGGTCGAGCCTGGCGATCTTAAATTTCACTGTTTATGTTTCAGATCTAACCCTCGTAGCCTGGCCCTAGTGTGTCTGACAGACACCCCGCACAGATGTTCCGCTACCTGTCTCCACACACGACCTTGGAGGTGGTATGTAAAATTGCATGTCTATAGCATTTTACCTTCACCAGCATTGAAACGCATCAAATAGGGCCTCCGTTCAAGCGGCCTTTTGTGCTGCCATAACTGAATTCGTAGTCTAATACTATTGAAGGGACCCGACAATGGACCTTCACCTTCCGCGAAGCGCCTTAACCTCTCATGCGTTTTCAAATGATTGTTTTTAGAAAACCTCTCATGTAATGGTGCGTTTTTCAATTTTAAGCTATTACCCTTTGGTGTGTCTGATTATGATAACATACCACCTAGTGGCTGCATGTTCTTTGACAGCTGGCGAGCTTGCTACAGTGCGTCGATGAGAGCTTCGAAAACTAAAAGAGGCATCTGAAGCAGTGTTTACTCTTGACTTGTAAGAGTTTGAGTATGAGGAGCTGGTGCTTTAAGTAAAAGTGGCCTGTACACAGTCGACAATTCTATACATCTATATCAGCAATTAGAAGTCAAGAGTATGACATTCACTGCTCCGATAGCATCGTCGACGAAGAGTACGCATCGATACTCTATCACGTATCTATTCTACTTGTTTTTCGGATGCAAGACCTGTTGCACATCCTTTTGAGGCAGTTTACAGCCATCAAGTAGATCCATCGAATCGCAAATGTCCCACTGCAAGGAGTTTACGCAATTCTGGCCACTTGTTGACAACTCAGTTTTTTTTAGCTTGTGCAGGATCAATGCCGTACCTAATTCGATACTTTACTACCATCCTCGTCGGGATGAATCGTGGCGAACGCATGCACGTCCAGCGACCGACGCTCTCCCTCAAAAGACTCGAAAATCACGTTCCGTGTCGGTGCCAGATGTGCAAAATCTGTCACTAGCATGGATGCTTTTCTTGGTGTACATAGCGATGGTTGCTAGAGGTTAAGCCATTGCATTGAATGGCGGAGATGATGTGCCCAGTTCATGATTGAAGCTTAGCTGCGATAGTGATGCATTGTTCATAAACAGAAAGTAAGCGTGATAATTTAAGTTGCTTTCGACGGAGCTCACGTTGAAAAATGAGCTTGCTGCACAACGATGTGGACCCCGTGTAAGATATAGAAAAGCACCTCACATGATCCGAAGAGTAGACCTCTGCTCGTGGTGGCATTAGTAGCATTGATTGCTGACCGTCCAGTGTTCGCGCAGAAGTTTTTCCTCTAAATTGACAACACAAGCGCAGAGCTCGACCCGCTCAGTCCCGAATTGCCTCTGGCCCCACCGCCTCAGTACAGCACGGCGTCAAGATTGTCGTAGCAACTAAGTCTCGCGACGGGTGCGCGAACACTTACATTGGCTTCGAGATTTGCCTCATACATTTCTAGATAATATGAATTTCGTACTCACGACCAACTGACTCTCTATCCTACACGATCGATGTTCAGATTGCGTGATTTGGGAGGGGGCGCTTAGCGAAAACGAGCCTTCGTTTATGTAGGGCAGAAATAATAATAATAAGAGCGGTGGATGCGCTCTAAAAATGAGCCGAGCTTAGCACGTGTTTATACTATATCAAACAGCGCTTTTCGATATAGTACATCATCCACTCGAGGTCGAACGACAAACTATCTTGTTGATCATTAAATCCAAAATACGATCGATTTCTACTTCTCACCGAGCTTTTTTCAGTGCTCGTACCTCTGCCGCGTCAATTCGCAATACTAGTACCATTCTCAAATGCAGTTTTGATTCAGTCTAATACAGCAGAAGCAAACCAAATCACATCACACTCACGATACCGTTTGCATGTCAAAGTGCAAACAGTCAGTTTTGGATTATATTGACAGCAATTTGGCAAACTGTCGCGAATACCGAATGCGTACACACATTAGTCTTCCACGTGTTGACCAAAGAGTGCACGCATTCGATACGTATAAATGAAAGGTACCCATTATGTTGGAGTTCCGGGTGAGCTGCCTCAAGATGATCGAAAAGAGCGGGTGTCACGCACTACCGTGGGTTCGCTACATCAATCAAAACGGCGGTTATGACCTACCCGTATATCAATGTACATCATCGAATCGACAGGAAAACGGTGGCCGGTATCTGACATCTTTTGGGCCAAGATGTCGCAGCATGCTTTGGAGAACAAGGGCCACGCGACCGAAGACCCGACGGCACCCTTTGGTACGGATAGTGTCATGTATTACGTCCAGAGGATGTAATTAGAACCAGAACGTTCGATCAGATTGCTGTACAAATACATTTACGATTGAGCGATGAATTGTCGTGATGAGAGGCTGTGCAGAGTTCGTTCGTGCACGCACATTTTAGGAGCCATGTCAGCAGAGATTCAGGTGTGCTTGGTGAGCTAATTACTACGCACGAGTATTAATGTAATTTTGATGTTTACGGCAGCTAAGTTTGATGTTTACGGCAGCCACAACACCGAATCCGACGATTATAATGCGGAGCTTTACCCAATCGACAGCTCCGTCAACCCAAAAACAATAGGTGCAGCAACGAGCGGGTACGTGTTGTCAGCTACGTTTACAATGTGGTGAACATAGTACCAGCAGACACCATTTCAGGAGGTACTGCTTTTACACTCGCAAAAGTACTTGTACCACGAAATAGCGCCGGCGGAGAAACTTGTGGGAAAACTGGTTTGAGCATTTTAACACGTTGGATGATATTGACAAATACCGGAAGCGAGTACTAATACCGACATCTCCCAGTGATCTTATCGATGGCCGCATTGGTGCAACATTCAGCACACAGCAGCGACCTTCCGTCACTTGACGTCGGTCCATTTGTCCCAGAACCAGCTCAACGGACAAACGTCCCACTCACACAATGGTACGACTCCATTCTCTTTCTCTACGGGCGACAAGTCCCCTCTGTCGGTACTAACTCCTTCATTCCATCGTTACTGCTGCTGCTGTCTGTCACCAGACGCGCCACGATGCTGAGGAGACCATCAAGCGCATCCGCAGCCACAAGGGCGTGCAGGCCGTGTTTATTATGAACGAGGAGGGTGTACCCATTTACTCCAGCACGAGCGACGCAGCGTTCGCCACTGACCACGCGTCTCTCATCTCCCAGTTGGCAGCTAGGGCCAAGGCCACGATCCACAGTCTGGATTCGACCAATGACATGACGTTTCTGCGCCTTCGCTCCAAGAAGCACGAGATCCTGATCGCCCCTGGTGCGTCCTCTGCACATTTCTGACGTCTGTTTGTCAAGAGGGACGTGGTCCCGACTTTATCACTGACTCGTGACGGATGCTGCTTCTGCTATTGTTTCCATGCTGTTACGATCGCTGCTTGGTTCCTGTTGCGTTTGCTGCAGACAAGGAGTACGCACTGATCGTTATCCAAACTGTAAACCTGGGCGCTGCTGAACTTGACACCCACGACGGTAGTCACGCATCGTAGTGTTTTTTCCCATCGATTATTCACCCAATCACCCAATAAAAAAACCTCATCCACTTCAGTTCGTTTTTCTCTCACGCAACACCCTTAACTGACAATCATCCAATAGAGTACGCTATCGCGGCTTCACGTCTTTACTGCCCGCTCGAGCGCTATCGATCCGACCTTATGCCGCCTCGCCGCTCGCTGAAGAAGCACGACGCGGCTGCCGAGTCCCACACGCTCAAGACGAGGCGCCAGCGCACAACCACGCAAGTGCGTAAGGACAAACGCCACACCGCCGTGCAGATCAAGCGGCGTCGGCTCGTCTCGACGAGCTCCCAGCCAGCACTTAGTGGTCGCAGTATCGCCGAGTTAATAGGGTGTCTTGGCGATGCACATAACGCATCGACTGTAACGGTTGAAGAGCGTTTCGAGGCGCTCATAGAGATGCGTGGTTTGCTTGGCGTAACGCAGGAGAAGAAGGACGGCGAGCACGACAAAATAGAGCAGCTGATAGAGTCAGGGGTGCGTATTGGTTGTCACGGGCGTTATGCATGGTCACATCGTCCAGATGTAGCCATGTGGTGTCCTGGCGACACTTGACACGGGACATATCATTGATATGATCATGTTTACTGACGAAAGGGGCCTGTTCTATTTCTGGCGTGCTGCTGAACGTCTGTGTCAATGTGCCAGATTGTGCCCGTTCTCGTGTCACTACTGAACTCGGCAGCACCTCTACTTAGTGCCACTCGCCTCGACGCCGAAGTGTACCAAGAGGTATTGTGGTGCTTGTCGAACATTGCAAGTGGCAGTTACGACGAGACGAAACTCGTGCTGCCAGCTGTGCCGCGATTGGTGCAATTCCTCGAGTCCTCGAACCAGTCATTGGCTGGACATGCGGCCTGGATAATAGGGAACATTGCAGCGGACTGCAGGGAGTTTCGCCAGCACCTTATTGCCAATGGAGTCGTCGCTCCTCTTGTCAAGCAATTGAGCAACTTCAAGGAAGCTGCGAGCACAAGTGCTTGGGCGCTATCGAATTTGGCTCGTGGATTCGAGACCCCAGCGAGACCTTTCGTGGAAGCTGGTATCGTCTCCGTCCTGGTCAAGGGACTGGCACCGCCTCGTTCCAGTGCTTCTTTCAGTGACGAGGTGGTGGTGGAAGTTGCGTGGCTTTTGAGTTTCTTGACGGCACGTGAAGAAGAGTATCTGCGGCTGATGCTGGAGACGGGGCTCGTGGAATTCCTGCTGCCGTACTTTTCGACAAGTGACGAAGCCCTGCTGACTCCGATCCTGCGCGTGTTCGGCAACGTCTGCTGCGGCTCGCTGGATCACCACACGGACGGATGGCAACTGCCATATGTGCACCGGCTATTGACTGCCGAGTCAGTGGCGTTTTTGCCAAAGCTGTGCGGGTTTCTGCAGCAAGCGGGAGCTCAGCAAACGACGTTGGCCGTGGAAGCGGCGTGGGTGGTTTCAAATTTGGCAGCTGCGGAAGCAGCAATTGTGGACCAGCTGTTGCAGGCTCAAGTACTGCCACTGTTGGGTCGGCAGTTTGTGGAGGGAAGCTACGACGTCCGTCGTGAAGTGGCATTTGCACTTACCAACATTGCACTAACGAGTGCAGCACATCTGGAAGACGTGCTGGCGCTCGATGTCGTCAAGGGCTTTTTGCATCTCCTCACCGTTGCTGACGTTGCTGTCGTTGGTAATGCACTGCGATTTATTGAGAACGTGCTGCGTGTGGCGTCTCAAGGGGTTTCGCTGGTTGAGCTGAATGAGGGCATTGATGCACTCGAGACTGTGCAGTTTGAATGCGGTGAAGAGCGTTTGTCGCAATGGGCTGCGGCACTGGTCAATGAGTTTTATGGAGAGAACTATGGTGTCCACTCACCGCCAAACGCCGATACAGAGTGTGCTGGTTTTGGTGAATTGTCCGAAGAGCCGATGCAGCTGTCGTTTGACGTTTCCCAGCAATCGTCTGCTCCGGGAACTGCAGGTCGAGGTCGTGGTGCTCACATGACCACGCCTGCGTGGAAAACGTAGCAAAGTTTCACAACCTGAGCTCTTGAGACGGAAGCAGCGATGGCTCCATCCTTTGGCTTGTTATGTGATTGAATAACCATGTTGCTGCCACAACGATTATGAGTCCATCTTTACTTACCGGGAATATGTGGAGGGATTGGGGAAGCAGCGGGTAAGTGAATGGCACTATTCAAGCAACAACCTCTAACTCGTTCACTCTACAACCGACGTAAAAGTCAATGCAGTGCTTGTCGTGCAACTAGCCCGTGTAACACAGCAAGGAGTATTTCTTCGGGAGCGGTTTTTGTCCGATACGCAATCAGTCCATGCCTACCGGTCGTTCGACTCCACCCGAACCAACCAAACCTCGATGGGCATGATCGGACGCCTACCGTGACCACCGCCTCTTCTGCAGACAAAACCGTCCGTCGAAACGGACAGTGCCTTGGTACACAAGTGCATCTTGTAGACAGAGACTGTACGTACACCAACAACTTCGATGCGTGCCCGTCGTAGCCACGACCTGCACGCCACTTCATCGACGCGAGAGATCTTGATCCTGGCAAGCTTTTGTTGCCATCGCGAGCTGCCACCCCCGACCCTTTCATGGTACTTGTGTTGCAGCCGGTCGACCACGAGCTTCGGTAGTATGACTAGGTCATGGTACCTGCCTGCTGCGGCTAACGGTCATGTGTGACCAACAGACCAGTCCATTCTTCGCACTTGCAAGTGCGTCGCCATTCGACTTCAACCGTAATGCACAACTGTCCGATCGTGCGACTGCGCTAACGAAAATGTACACAGGCAGCTAGCTGCTCCGACGCTGCCAACACCTGGCAGTTTAAGTAGATGTGAGAAGAGAAGGGGACTCGCACGTTGACAGCGGGCTCGCTAGTGCTGCGACGTTGGTCATTTTGATGTGCTTCGGTGCTGTTACGTCTGTATCCAGTTGCGGATCCATTCGCTGCTGCTGGATGATGCTTGAGGTTTCGATCGAGATCGTTCCTTTCAGGTACGTGCAAGTGCGAATCCATTGACGAGCCAGCTTATGGCAGCGGTGAGACCCGTGGACAGCTCGCGATACATACTGCAATGGCTGAATCAGAACCGAGTGACAGCGAGCGGGATCTCGACTGCAACGACCATCCTGACGCGACAGAAAGACTCGGTGCAAATCGACATGGAGGCTGTCCTGCTTCAACGATAAAGGCTGCTCCATCGCTGGACATCTTGAAGTGGTCCATCGACTGTGACCGATGGATGGACGCGAGTGCTGTACAAAAGAGACCGCGAAAGAACGGCCAGTGGTTGCGAGTGCATGAAAAGAGCAGGATTCGACAAAGGCTGCGGCTATGATGCAACTTTGACGCCGTCAGTCCCGCGTCAGCTTCTTAGAAGATCGACTCAAACTGATACAGCCACATTCCGATCCTCGGATCCTGGAGAGTGCTAAGCGTTCGACTACAAACCTGGGTCAGAGTATTTGCAGTGTGAGTGCAAGGGAAGCAGAGATCCCAGAGCGCGTGTGTCTGCCTTGTGGAATGCGTGCAGATAGTATCGACTGGCTGGAGCTATACGCAGAACGAGTGACGAATCGATTGGTCGGGCAGGTCATGCATGAATGGGAAAAGCTGGAGGGCAGTAGAGCTGGTGATCACGATGCAAGTGAGTGGCAACGTGGAGCTTTTGTTTTAGCAGTCGGCGTATCACGAGCGGGAGTGCTTTCTGAAAAGACGGATGTTGTTCACACCTTCTGAACTTCTTGCCAAGTCGTCACGGGTGACGTCGCGCACGAGTGGGACACGCGTACGAGCATATCCCACTCACGCACGTACTTACAAAAGACACTCGACCTTTGACTATCGCTGACTCGGCGTGTGTGGACAACCAACAACGCATCGGTTATGAGGTACATGCTTTCGTGGTGGTGTACCTTGCAGTTAAAAGTACATCGGGTCCAGTCCAGTTGGCCACAACTGTCCACCACGTGTTAGACACTAGAGGAGAGTAGCTGCTCGAAAGTCATCAGTAGGAATCTCGTGGCGGCCGATGAACTGCAACAAAAGCGTCCACACGTCACTCACACTTTCTATCGTCACTCACACTTTCTATCGTCACTCGAAATCATGCCGCACCAAAGTGTGGCGTCGATGCTGCCGAAAAGATCCGTAGAAACAGAAGATGAATCCGCAATCGAGCACCCACGTGTTGTGCCCACGACGCCGCCATATTGTACATTCTTGTCCCGATCCAGCGTGCCAGGTGGCCCCCTCCCTCGACGTCGCGGCTCTGTCCCCGTAAAGTCCGTGCTTCTCTCCACTGGTCACAAACGGCACCAAAACATCGGAAATGACGTGGGCCACACCAACTCGCCACTCGCTGCACCAGCTGCTGACCGCGCTCGACGTCTGCATTCCCATTTCCCATTTGGCCTTTCGCCACTGAAGCGTATACCACATCGTGTCCGCGTATACTGAACGTGCACGTGCTGTCAGCGCGTCTTCCATCGCGTCTTCACCCGTTCGTCCTCATCCGAAGCCATGCTCGCGCCCACGTCTGACTATGGCTACACCCCGTCGCCCTCCATGGGCTACGACCTGCATCACTTGCACAGTGGCGAGCGTCCCAAGCTCTTTGTGCAGCCACCTAACCCCACTGGCGTCGACGCGTACGGCCACATGTTGGTGCACCACACAACGCCACACCAACACCACACCCTGACACCTCAGCACGCCCTGTCACAACAACAGGCCCTGACACCTCAACACGCCCTCACTGAGTCCGAGCCGTTATTGATGAACGTGCAGGGTCCTTCCGGCCACGGGTATTACCCGCCCCCTCAGATGGGGCATCAGATGCTCCACGTCTCGTCCAATTACGAATACGCATCACATGGCAACGGGGGCGTCGTGACGCCATCGAGCTCACGGTCCCACCACAGCGGCTCGAAACGCTCTCGAGAAGATCTGAACCTCAAGGAGAAGAAGCGCATGTTCAAGCTGAACGACCGCATCAACCAGCTCAAGGACATGCTGGACGAAGCAGGCGTGCAGACGAAGAAGAACAAGCAGTCGATTCTGGACAATGCGGCGCATTACATTGAGATGTTGCGCAGTAATCTGCTCATTGCCAAGCAAAAGGCCGAGCGCGCCGAGAAACAGACGGAAGTCTTTCGCTTGCAGCAGTCAACGTGCAGTGCCGATAAAGTCGTGCGGGGCGTGTTCCAGAAGTCCACGACGCCTCGCGTCGTGATGGACTTGACGTTGCAGCCCATTACGTTCAACAAAGCGTTCGTCACGCACACGGGGCTGTCGGAAATGGCGCTGAAGCGGCAGAAGACGCTGCGGCCGTACTTGTGTGCGGATCAGGACGAGCTGGAGAGTATCGTGAAGATCGTGTGCGAGACGAACCAGTCGATCAGTACCGTGGTCAAGACGTCGGTGGAGGGAGAGAACGACGTGTCGGTGAATCTCGTGGCTGCAGTCGTTACGGACGATGCTGGGAAAGCGACGAACGTGGAGTTTAGTCTCATTCCCATCAAGACACAGCAACTCGAGACGGTGACAGGATTGATGCGGGTGAAAAACGAAGGCGCTCGGGATGAAGCAGAAGAGATGTCCGGGGCCGAATCGCTGACCGACGGCGAGCCTTCGGACGACAACCCGCGGTTGTGAGTCGAGCGACGGAGCGCCTCGTCACGTATTGACGAGAGAGAGAGAGAGAGAGAGGAGGCAGACGCGTTGTCTACACCTTCGATCGATTGATTGATCGACGACCGCTGTGCGCGTGCGTCGAGTGGAGTGCCGTGTGAGTGCTGTGTGTAGCGTAGTTCGTATGCGAGTAAAGCGAGTCCATTGTAATGCAAGGTGTCCTGTATAACCCACCCCTTGTTCACGTTGTAGCTCTTGGCTTCAAGTGCGCAGCAAGTGACGCATCGGTCGAAGGCACTAACGAGAGGGACGATGAGCAAAGCCTGCGCGCTGGCCAGAGACGCTGTCCGACCAAGGGTGCGAGCCACACAGAGCTGGCTCGTCTCTTGCGCAACACGTGAGGTGTCAACAGACGAGACGGAATCGACCGTCCCGGCTGCCGGGTTTCGTGGTCGTCGTCTTTCTGCACTTGGTCCGACAGCAGTATACTAATGCAGCCAAAAACGATGGCTGACGCTAGCATAGCACTGTGACGAGCGAGAAATTTCTCTATGGACTCTTGTATACTCCTCGGACGAGACACACGAGGTCTATTGTGCGGCTCAACGAACGCGCTGCTTGCCGGGGATCTTTGCTGTCACGTGATGTCGAAAGAAGTTTCCTCGAAGCTTCTTCATGTGGCAGCAGCCAGTTGTTGCCACGTTGTGACACGTTGTCACGTTGTGGCTTGGGTAAGATCGTTGTTGAAGCCGGAAGCGGTCGCAATCGATACTGACCCGTCGTACCACGTCTCAGCAGCTGGTAGGACACAGACAACTCGTTCGCCACGACAAGAAAAGAGCTGCTGTTTGGTCGTCTTATGAAAGCGACAAGGGACCGTGCATATCAGCGCGCTCGCAGTTGCGTGCCGTCTGGCGGGCAGCGGTTGCGGCAGGGTGACGGACTCTACAACGTGACGTTGACCAGCGGAGTGGAGCGAATGCCGAGATTGGTGCGTTTCGAGTCGTTATGTCTGGGGATAGATCCATGCGTCTGACGGAAGGCTGCTGTGAGACTTGACAAGGATTCTTGAAGTGTTTGAGTGTGTGCTCGAATGAGCAGTCCCGAACGAGTGTTTGCCGATTGGACCAAAGCAGTCTTTTAAAGGATGGGGTGGCTTCATGATCGCAGTGCAGAAGTTCAAGTCGATGGCGCCCAGATGCCCTCAAGCGTGCACAAGCGTGGTCTTACTATTTGTTTGCTCAAGTTGTCACATTGGGCCTCTCATCTGTACGGATGAACCAGGAGGTGGCAGCTCTTTACATGTAAAACATGCCTCACCTCGATAACTTACCCGATCGAGGAAGATACTGATGTTGAGACTTGATAAATTACGCACCTCTTTCTCATGTTCATGGTCAGAGGCGTGAGTTTCAATGCATGTCTAAATTTAGCTGTGATTTAGATCTATCTATTTTTACTGATTTGCGAATGAAAAATAGCAAGAAGCGCTGTCTCCTCTGGAAGCAGGTATCGCTGAATGTCGATATCGTGGCCAAGCTTCTGGCTCGGCAAATTGAATCTGCAAGAAGCACGATGCACCGTGCATTAGTAGCTGCGCTGTATTTCCCATCACTCATCAACCCATCCACCAGTTCACATCATGAAGGTCGTCCCACAGTCACGTGACTATGCCAAAGATGCACTGCAAAAAAGCCAAAGCGACGACTTTGGCGAGGGATGGGATCGAAAAACTGCCGAAAGTTCTGCAAGTCAGCACACCAGACTGAGATTAGCCAGTACGACGTCACGTAATGAAGCGAGTTTAGTGTGCGAACCCCATGAACGGCTCGACATTGCAGTATTTGTAAACGTCTATCACACCTCGTCACCCTCTCAGGTTGAAAACCAGATACAAAAGTAACAGCGCAGTGATGCTGGATGGCAACAGAGTGGTGAGACCTGGTGAACTATTCCTTGTGCACTGTCATAAGCACACCCTTACTTCTGCTCATCGATGGTAACAACTACATCGGCGAAGTGATTGGAAAAGCGTGCTACTGCTGAAAATAGTGCGGTAGTGTCTTCAAGGAGTTTGACTGATTCCGTGAAGATACTTCGCACTGATTTCACGACGCCTCGCAGACGCCGACATCGAGACAGCCATGTGCTGCACCACTGAAGATCTTCATGGTCTCACATTTCGACTCCTTGGATAATTATTTATTGCGAGCCCGAAGAGTGAAGCTTTTAGTGAGTGTGCGCAAGGTTGAATGCCGAGCTTTTAAATCGTACTTATCTGTGTGTGGGTTTGTGTGACTATTTGTGTGTCTGTAAGAATTGTCGTTAGGTGCAGTTTCGCATGTTAAGTGCGATTTAGCCTGTCCCCACCGCATACGTATGTAGGCATATCCGAAGTCACTCTTTGCCAGGTCACTATGTGGTGCACGCTTGTGATCAGCTTAAAATTGATCAAAGGTGAATGTGATTACTTGATCCAATGCTAGACGCTTATGAGCAAAGGCCGATCGCGTTGCCCAGGTATACTACACTGCTTTGATACAGACATTAACAGCATCACATTCATTCTACAGTAACTGCTATTGTATACTGTTTTGCGACTTGATTCAGCTCTATAAACTGGATTACTTCTATTAAAGGACGAGCTCCAGAGCTTGCCTCCCTATCTTTTACGTTATCCAATTTTTGTCCAGACTACTTTTTGCATCATATTAAAAGCGAGCAGTACCATTCGCTCTGACAGCCACGATGTCTCGAACGGACACATGTCGTCACGAGAGGGCTATCAAGCTCCACAACACAAGTACTCGCTCATTCCAGGTAAGGTCTACTTTATTTACATGCATGGTGATGCGTGCTCGTGCAATTTCTATGATTTTGCTCTTATTGGTGTGTGCTAGAAGATCAAGACAGTGACGGACCACTAGCGCAGGGCATCACCTGGATTCCCTCGCCCTGTTATTAAGTTAGCCAGAGTTTAAGGCAAGAATGTGTTTGGATGGATGAGTGCACATACTGCATTGATGTGTGATTGTCATTTGCCTCGAGGCAATAATGAACAGGTACGCATATGTGTGCTTGGCAGCACTTGCCGGTGTGTAATGAGTTAAAAGATATGTGTGCTTGATGGATGACCTGCATGTGGGTATTAACACAAGTCAGAGAATAACAAGATCTTTATCTTGGAGGATGCGGTGCGTTTGGCTCGTAAGTGGTCTGTATTTGATTTATTTCTAGTACCCTGACACCGCTTCTAGTGTTACAGGTTCATTGTGCATCTAGACTGCTTGAATCGGAGGCAGGAACAGGGATAAGCATGACTCTCTGTTCCGGTTCGCAAGTGATTGATAACGGTAGACTTACGCTCGCCTTGCAAAATAGCTCAGGAAGATTTGAGAATTCGCACATTTTTAAATACGCGCAGTATACAAACTGAATCTCCTACATCACAACACGCTGGATGATGTATCTAAATATCTATAGCTAAATTATCGCTCCTTTAAATTTAGATAAACAGGAATGATCTGGTAGGATTAGTATGTGTCCCATCCTCTTTGCTACCAAAAAGGACAAATCAAATGATTTCATAAACTGGTCACGTCTCAATCGACAGTGGTAGGATCCAGAAGGACTGTGGTACGATCCGTGGCCTTTAAGGAATTGTCAAGAAGTTACAGAAGCGGCAGCGTAATTGATGGCTCCAAACGCTTGGGAGAATAATTTGTACCACGCAAAACTTGTCTGCATGGATGTCGCAGCTGATCCAACATCCTCAACCGTACTCCGCGCGAAAGACGTTGCGACAATGAAAGAATGTACTAGTCCGCATCGATGACCTCGTAAACACTCTTCAATCTGCAGTGCTGGGTGGGGGAGTATAAACAGTACACGAACTGGCGTTAGCCAGCTTTTCTCGAACGACGGCTCTGGAGCCGCCACCATGCCCCCCTCCCGACAGGGGGGGGACGCGGCTTTGCCAAGGGGCCAGCCGGACGACTTGGGAAACTCTAGCCCGGCCCTCGACTTACCGGAGGACGCGGGGCCTCCGGAGAAGGCTCCTTCTCTCTCCGCTGGTAGCCCCTCATCCTCTGCAAACGGGGCAAGGGCTCAAGCACACGCCGCATCTGCTGCTCACGGGACAGGGGCTCCAGTACACGCCGCATCTTCTGCTCACGGGACAGGGGTTCCAGGGCACGCCGTATCTTCTCCTCTCGCGGACTCTCAGATGCCGACCCCCTCAGTGGCTAGGGAGTCAGGCTTGGCAGGGGATGCTTCCTTCACCATGGCAGACCAGCCGCTGCGTAGCGGCAAGACAGATGCAGTAACGCCGCGGCAAGACGGACCCACCGGGCGCGCTTCGGGGGAGGGTTCCGAGTCCTCCTCGTCGCCTTCGCAGGCTTTCACGCCCCCAGTTCATCCGCGCGACATGTTTGAGGCCCTTACCGCGGCGATGAAGGCTTCTTCGGGGCCCCCGTACCTAGATGTCTGGCGCCAGACCATCCAGGAGTTATTTGCGCTGGAATTTGCCCGCCTTCCAGTCAGCTTCGACGCGTTGCCGGCCGAACGCAAACGGTATCCCAAGCTCACAAGTACCGAGCTGGTGAGTTTGCTGGATTTGTTTAAGCAATGTTTTGTTGTGACATCCGGCCGCTACGTCGACTGGACCCGTTTAGCCCACCAGATCAGTAAGGAGATCCTCGTCACGAAGTGGGCGTTCAAAGAAATCTTGCGCAAGCTGGCCAGCCGACAGAAATGGGCTGTGGCTCCAATCCCGCGGCTGTGGTCTCAAGTCGTGCAGACAGGCAGTGCTGCTGCACCTGCCAGTACGACAGGCCAGCAGCGTCCCGTGTTCGATGACTTTATGTTTGATCCGGCACATTTTTCGGAGGAAGAGACGACCACGCTCCGAGCCATTTGCGCAACGCGCCTTAACTTGACAGGTACTCACCGTCTGCGCGAGGGTACAGATGATGAATGGCGCATCATCATTGGGATTGCGGAAGGGCTTATTGCCTGTCGTCGGCTGCCTGATTTTCTCAATTCTGTCTTCGACAGCGACGAGCGGCTTCGGTTGTGTCGGACTGTTCAGGCGCAGGTCGAGGGACAGTTAGTCTTACAACTTAGACATGGTCGTGATATCCCAATTGGACGCCGGACGACCCACGCTATTACGGAGAAGATTTTGGAATCGGCGGAAATCTTGCGGGTCTGCTTGCCGGATCTTCACCGTTTCCTCGGGTTGGCCAAGACGATAAGCTACAATCGTTCTACCCGTTCAATCCACTTCTATTTCTTTACGCGAGCCATTGCTAAGGCGCACCAGGATGTCGTAGTGCCTTTTCAGGGGAGGGCGTACACGCTCGAGAATGTTCATCACCCGGTCAGGGGCTCGGTCTGGTTGAATCAGCGGGGACCAGACGGGCGGTCGAGCCACCCTCGGGCAGCGTACACCATTTTGCTGTATAATCTCACCCGGTTTGATGATATTGGGCGCATTGCTGCCTACCTCCGCTCCAAGATACCAACGGATTTTGAGCTGGAGGATATGGATACCTACACCCCGAACTCACGTACGTCCACTGCCTGGAAAGTCACCTTTCATCTGGCGGGTTGCCCGACCTTTCTCCAAGGAGTAGTCAGACTGCTTTGGTTTGGGACCCCCATTATCGTCCGGCATCCGGACGTGGGCCGTCGCCTCCAATGTTTGCAATGTGGTACGCTAGGCCACCCGGCGTCGAGGTGTCAGTTTACTGATGCGCAGTTGCGGGGGCCGGGCGGGCTGGAGGTCCACGAAGCCGAGCTTTTAGCTGTCGAAGATCTGGCCAAACCGTTTAGTAGCCCTGATGAAATGCGGCAAATGGCGCAGCGACGACTGGTTGTGCAGCAATCAGCCGATGCAGCGGCTCAAGCTGCGGTGACTCCGGCGGTACCGGTCGCCACTTCCAGTCCACCGCCGGCCGCCGAGCCCCAGCCAACAGGTATACCTATCCAATCGGTGTATACTACTCATGTCGCGCACGCGGGCCCGCCTCCTCCGGCCCCAAAACCCCGGCCCGAACAGCCATGGATGAGACGCCCCCTTCGAGGGGGTCGTCGGCCTTGGCCCCCAATTCAGCCTTCCCCGCCTCAGCTGAACGTCAGCAGCGGGAGTTATCACGTTCTCCAGGAGGATGATAGGGCAGAGGAGGGTCCGTCTTCCCCATTTGAAGGCAGTGTCGCCTCTGCACCTCCGCAGCCGGGGACTGGAGGCTCCTCGACTCCTGCTTTTTCGGCACGGCTGTCCCACTCTCGGCTTCTGCCGGAGGATCAGGCCCGGAAACAAGCAGCCGGTATTCGGGGCCCGGCGGTAGTTATCGCGGGTCCGGCTCTCCTGACCCAGCAGCGACGGGAACGTCTGACTTGCGAAAAGCTTTTAAAGCTGCTGCCGGATCGGCAATGTCACTCGATACCCATGGATCCTAAGCCGTTAGCGGAACCCATCCACATGGGCGAGCTTGTGAGTATTCTGGGACTTCGAGAAATAAACACTCCAGCGAACGGCAATTGTTTGGCGATAGCTCTTGCTCAAGCGGTGGCTGAGTCTGCCTTGACCGCCCCTACCAAGGACCAGGAGCTTCTCACGGCTTGCATTAAACGAGGTATCACGTGTACAGGACTCTTGAACTTGGAAGATCAGGTCCCTCACGACTTGCGGGTGCAGGCACTTAAGAACGTGGGCCGTGGGTGGGCGTCGATGACGCGCACAGAGTCGGCTTCTCAATTCCGCTGGTTTTTGACGGACTTCGCGGCCACCCCATCGGGGGGGGGGGCTTCGCGTGTGCCCCCGGGCTGGTGGGGGGCAGGTGACACACTCGCGCATGGCAGCCACGTTTTTACAGAGAGACATCTTTGTCGTTCAACGCGAAGAAGCCACCCCTCAGTGGCGTTGCCGCAAGTATCACCCCGTTTCGATGACTGTACGGGGACGGGCGGTGGCTTCTGTAAAAGAGTACCCCCTTTCTATTATGGCGTGTATCGACGAGCTGCAGGCTACCAAAGTCGGGGCGAGTCAGGCTCTACCGTTAGTGTTGCGGTTTGGCGGCAGCCACTACTCGGCATTTCTCCATTCAGCGGGAGTGGCCGATCCGTTAAACCTTACCGATACCCAGGACGGGCCGAGTGCGTCGACTCAGGATCCGGTCCACTCCTTCGGGGACACTAGAGCCACAGCGTTGGTACCATTGGAGGAGAAAAGCGCTTCAGCACTGCCCTCAGACGACAAACTCCTTCCTGACAGCGGTGACCGGACGTCGATCGTCCTTTACGACGCTGGAGACGCGGTCGCTCGAACCTCGGCACAACCCTCTGGTCAATTGGCTTTAACTTCTACTTCGAGCAGCTGTCGCGAACGCGGGATGGCCTCTGCGGCGCGGAAACGGGGCCACGGCGGCTCTCCCCCGCTCCTGGCGGCGTCTGCGGATCCAGGTGCTGTCGTTCCGATCGGCTCTCGCCACAAGAAAGGTCGGGTTCGTTCAGCCCTTCGGAAATCTTCACTAGACGCGCCGGACGACAGAATCGATCGGGACGAATGGCCAGAGCTCTGGAGTTATCTGGGAGCCGAATGGCCGCCGTCAGCAGCAACTCCGTATCCTCTAGTATATGGAGACTCCAACGGGTGGGAGGCTACGGCTCGTTTGGAGCCGGAATTGTTACTACATCACTTGCGCCGCTTCGTCTTTCCAGACGAAGTACTTGCTAGCTTGTCCGACACAGTTTTTGTACAGTGGACGGCGCTGTGGCGCCAGGAGTGCTTATTATCCGGGCTCCTAGAATTCCGACAGCGAGTGACAGAGCTACCCACGGGTGTTTGGCTCGACCAATGGATTGCTCGATCGCAGCAGCGCCTTTCGCCGTCTCTGCTGGCCCCTCTGATTGACAATTCCGACGATTGGAGAAAGTTGCGAGGGATTAACTATGCGGGGGACGACATTTTACGATTGTGTGACCCGCACAGACGCGTCCGAATGAGTCACCACCTCATGTGTGCCATCGTGTTCGACAACGAGATTTTTGCTCTGACGGGGACTGGCGGAAAGCCAGTACGCCCTCCCGAGCAACTCCGTTGCCACTTTCGCTTACTTCGGACCAATAGTACCTACAAGGATACGTACTACCCAGACGGGGATGCTCCGATCGACTGGACTGCGCTCGTTCGCTATTTTACTACTGCTTTGGCCCCGGCAGAGCAGAGGTTCCTCCTCGAGTACTAAGGGCAGCTTACAGCAGAATTTCGTCTTCAGCCCCGAAGTTCCTTTCTTTGAGGAAGCTGACGCCTACAGCCGGCATCGCAAACTTCACGACTGGTCTCCGTCCTGGACTTCAGCAGTTGATCCACTGGATTCTCGGGGTGGGGACAGGCTCTTTATTTCTCAAAACGTGAGGGGCTTCAAGGCTAGCGCTCGGGAAGGGTGGTTGTCGGCGTGGCGTAGTGCGCCTCAGATCCGTCGCCCGCAGGCTTGGTGTATTCAGGAGACGCATGTACATACTGACGAAGAGGCGGGTAGGCTGAGTTCCAGGTGGGCTCAGTTATGGGGTCAACACTTGGATCCTGACGCTCCTCCTCTATCGTTCTGGAGTATTGGCTCTTCTAGCCGTGCTGGTGTTGCCATTCTTCTTACCCCTCATTCTGCTCGTACAGCTTCGGCCTGGGAACCGGAACGCTGGTCACCCCGGGCGATCGCAATTTCCATTGGGGAGGATGTTCTGATCAATGTGTACGCACCTACACTGCGAGGTGAACGGGAAGACTTCTTTACTTCCCTTCTCAGCTGGAATTTGATGGCCTCCAACACTATTATGGCGGGCGACTTTAACTGCGTCCAGTGCCCTCTCCTCGATCGGTACGGCAGTTACCGATCGCACCGATCGGAAAGCCCTGCCCTGGACGCGGCAGTTGCGACACTGGGCTTGGCGGATGCGAGAGATCTTCGGGATCATGCGGATGACGAGGGCACTGGCGATCCTACTGATCATTTCACTTACTGGAATGGGGACCGTGCCAGTCGCATCGATCGTTTCTATGTGCCTGAGGGGTGGGTAGGTCGCGTGCTGTGGATTGAAGCGCGGGTGCCATCCAATCAGTCGGACCATCAGGAGGTTGTGCTACACCTACGTGACCTGAACAAACCTCGTTCGTCATGCCGGCATGGGCGTGTAACATATCCGATTCATTCATCGAACCCTGGCAGGATCGTTGACGAACTCGTCGCGGAAATGGACGGAAGGGCTATAGGTCAGAGCGTTTCTACCCTCACTTGGGACGCGGATGTCACAGAGTGTCAACAGTGCGTTCGACGCATCCGGAAGCGGGTCAAACAGCGCAGAGCGCGATTTCGTCGGAAGATTCAGGGCAGAGCTCGGCGACCTCTCCTGACCCGGCCGCAATTTATCTCCTGCAATATGGAGGAATTACGGCAGGAACATCTGGTGCGACTGGGCCAGAAGCTCGCCAGGACGGCTGACCAGTTGCGCTATTTTTACAAGCGGGTTGCCGACTGGGAACGCAATCAAACAGTCACAACAATTTCGCGCATCCACGGCCCGCATTTTACCCGGGATATGACTAATGCGGATAAATTTGCCTCCGAATGGTCTACAGTCCTTGGCAAAGTTCATTGCCAGGAGGAGAGAGTGGACTTGCCGTCAGCCATTCGCCGTTTTGTCAATCTACCCACAGACCGAGTCTTGTCTTCTGCCGACAACCGGGCTCTCTTGGCTGATTTTTCGGAAGCGGAAGTCCTTGCAGCCGTTTCTGGGCTCAGTCGACATAAGTCGGCGGGACTGGACAGGCTCAACAACGATTTTTACAAGGATACGTCTGCACTTCTTGTCCCCGCCCTGGTCCAGCTCAGCAATCAAATTTTGGCTGGAGCTGATCCCCCCGCCTTCATTTCTCGAAGCTTTGATCATACCCTTGCGAAAAAGGGAGACTCGGCGGATGCGATGGATTACAGACCGATTTCTCTACTCCAAACCAGCTACAAGATCTTTGCGAAAGTGCTGGCAACACGACTGCAACGCGTATTACCAAAAGTCATTGGTGACTCGCAGCAAGGCTTCGTACACGGACGCCAGATGTCTAAACTAGTGTTGATGATGCTCGCTCAACTGGCGACAGCAACATCGGATACAACTACATCCGCTGACGACAGCCGAGTGATCCTCCTACTGGATTTCCGCAAGGCTTATGACACGGTCGATCGCGAATTCCTGTATGAGGCTCTTCGCCAATTTGGTTTCGCGGAAAGGTATGTTCAGCTTATAACTCGTCTACATACTGGTACTTCGGCCGCGTTCCTTGTAAATGGGGAACAGTCTCGTCCCATCTCCGTCGTTTCCGGTATCCGGCAAGGCTGTCCACTCGCCCCTTTGCTTTTTCTCGTCGTGGTGGAGATATTGGGCGTTGCGGTACAGCAATCACCAGATTTGTCTGGGCTTCCTGTCCCTGGACGACATCCGGCAACGCACGTTTTCTCGGCATTTGTGGATGACTCGACGATCTTTCTCGAGAAGGCCAGTCAGCTGGAGCCAGCGATAGCTCTTCTCTCTCAATTTGGGACCCTATCAGGGCTAGTTGCCCAACCCTCCAAGAGTCAGATCATTTGTCTTAATCGGGCTGTGCACGTAGCCGATATGCGGGGCATTCCGGTCCTTCAACAGGCGGACACGGTGCGATACCTGGGCTATCAAGTAGGACTGAGACCCTTACACAATTGCAACTGGGCGCTTCGTATCCGGAAGCTTCAACGGAGGCTAATGACAGCTTCCAGGGTGGCGACCAGTGTGGCGAATCGGGTGTTGATCCTCAACTCCATCATTCTCCCGTCTGTTCTGTTCACGGCGGCGGTGTTCGATATGCCTGAGTGGGCACGACTTGCTGTCCACAACCTGTACAAACAATTTTTATGGGCTCATGCGACTTCAACGGAAGCCAGCCGACACAAGATTAACCCGGGACTACTTTTCACCCCCAAAAGGCAGGGGGGTTGGGTTGGCCTCTTTGGAGGTGGCTATTAAAACGCAGCGTACCAAGCACGCTTTACAGTGGCTCACACAAGCTCAGGACAAGTATTTTGGAGCCTGGAGTGCGTGGGCTTATCAAGGCCGGCCGACAAATTCGAGTCTGGTTCTCCATTGCAGGACGCAGGCAGCTGGGGCTGCATCGTGTGTCGGGGCACCGTCCCCAAATTCATGGGTACCGGACGTTGACAAGCTTCTACACCCTACGGTAGAGCAAGCCACCATTCTCAGCGAGCGGGTACGAACGTACTACCACCCCATCCTCCACGGCGCCAGTAGCTGGTGGGAGGAGGAGGAATGGGTGCTGTCGTATCATCACCCTTTCCCGGCTGGGGTACCTGCGCTCGATCCTCAACAGTGTGCGATACATCGCTTTTGGGGGACACTAGGCTGGAGTAATAACCCGTGGATCCAGGACGGCAATGGCCTCTCGTTAAAATCCGCTACCTATGACAGGATCGCCATCTGCCCCATCTCGGACCTGCACATTCGGCGAACAGGGCCAACTGAATTTATTTTTCGCATTAAGCCGGTTGGACCCCGATCTTTTCACCACTCGCAGCCTAAACTCCGTCGGTGGGCGACGGCAATCTTGCTGGCATCCCCTACGTTCCCCATTGGGGGCGAATTAGCGCTCGAACCTGAGCTGGTTCTTCGCCATGCACCACCTTTTCGACATGAATGGACCTGGGCCTCGGTCCAACAAGGTCGAGTGGTCGGGAGGCGAGAGGGGTACTTGGAAGTCGCTGACCAGCCTGTTGAACTGCAGCAGAGTGCGGATGGAATTCGCTGGTTTTTCACCACTCACCTACCAGAGTTATCTACTAATTCGGACGAGGACAGATCCGTTTGGGCCCTACGCTTGCGTCGTCACGGCGTCGTGTTTTACTCCCATCCCGGGCATCATGGCTTTCCTTGGGCCGTCGCCGAGTCGGTCGCGAACTTAGCTATACGAAAAGCTATTTCACGCCTGGCGTTCACGTTTCACAAAAGACTTCTTGCAGTCGCATTGCGACCGCTGGTGCGGCGTCTGGAGGCCGTCTGTGACTTCGATCAGTGGCAGCGGGCTGCCGCAAACCAAGACCCGGCACACGTTTGGAAGCATGACAATGGCCTTTCCGACCATCAGGTCTGGACGTGTTACCGTATAGCCACCAAGCAACTCAACTTGTACCATGCCGGCCGTCCGGCGGACAATAGTTGCCGGGCGTTATTGGCGTGTCACGGTTGCAAAGAAACGCCGGCTCACATCTTTTGGGACTGCCCCAAGGCGCGCGCGTGCTGGGGTCAACTCATTACCCATTGGACAGGTGAACGGGCTGGGAGGCCGTGGGAAGAGCGTTGGTTCGTCGGGAGTGTGAATCGTCACGCGCCGGAGATACCGTCCAAGCAGCGTCTTCGGATTTACCATATGCTCCCGGAGGACTTAGAGGCTGGTGTCGCGGTTTGGAAGCGTCTCTGGTTTATTATGAGCAGCATTTGTCTGACTCACTTATGGAATGAGCGGAACGACGCGGTTTTTCGAGGAGTGCAGTCGACGCCTCTCCACAGCGCCGCGCGTTTTTGGGCGCTGGGAATTCGACATCTTACCGCGTTAGCAAAACGCGAACATCGCGGTCCCGCCACAGCTGTCACCGGGGCTATCATGCATACCTGTATCGACCTCTTTATTCTCGAACCTCGGGATAAGCCGATACCTTTAGGTGACAGCCACGACAAGCTACCAGTTCCGGAGCTATTGTCCTGGCTTAGAAGTTTTCAGACATCTTTAGCATAATCATATGTTAATAGACGGACATGACAACAACAACATCGATGACCTCGTAATGTCGTTTCGTTTCCCGTGCAGAAACGCAAAGTACAGCGAAGCAAATGGAATAGCTCTCGTGTAGAAAAAGCCCGTGCCTGTAGTACTTGCGCCAGCAATTTACTCTGCTATTTGTTCGAGTGACGAGATGCGTATCCCGGCTACGGACGTCATGATAGGTCTACAGTACCTGATCGCAGCGATAACGTCGCAAAGTGACAAGACTCGTCCCTGCAGTCACTCTGCGACATTACTCTACCCAATGAGCTTCACACTGGATCAAAATCGTTTCACCTTGCTGCTGCAAGCACGAAATGTACAGACTGTTGTGCCGTCTCGATCTGACCATAGCGTCTCGCTAATTAAAGTAAGAGGATCCAACTTTTTGCACCACGCCCTAAGAGCTTTCTTTATGCGGCTGCAACTCGGCGTGCCTACTCAAAAAGTCGAGGAGTTGGCGATACGGAATCACTCAACGTGAGGCAGCAACGTTCAAGCGTTCATTTACAACCACATCGAGCGGTGTCCACGGACCATATTGGCCAATCTCCATGAATTTCTTTACCAGAATAATAATTAGGGCTGGTACACCTTTCTACTATACCGTCCTTCGTTGTACCAAAGCTTTACAATTTGGGCTGTTTATGCTTGCACCTGTGTCCTTCGCTTGAAGTATGGATGACCTGAAGTAATTCGGTCTCGCTCCATCACGTGCACGCTTCCGTTTACCCGGATCTATCTCGCTCTGTTTGAACACCTTGCGGCACAGCTCCGGATTGGTGCCTCTGGCTGGACACCCTATTCGAGTCTGTCAACCAAGAAGGCACTGCTTGTGGAAGTTGCCGAGCTCCATTACGCGTCACAAACTACTATGAAAAGATCTCACATGGACACGTCTAAATCGTACAACCTAACATTGGTCGTGCAAGGTGACATGACAATTGATCACTCGTCTGGCCTTAGCCCATGATATAGCTATAGTTGCTGACCCCATCGCCTTGCAAAGTAACATAGTAAATATCCGGCCCGTGGCGTAGGAATGCACAGCTACAGGTTTTCTGGCGTCGATAGGGTCGACAGCCCAGTACCAAAAGCTCGGCAAATTCGTTTATAGAAGACAGCGTTACAGTAGTACACTATGCACAAAGCATTTTTGTGTCGCTGGTGCGACTAGCAACACTAAGGCGCGGCGATCTTGCAGACATATGTCGGTAAAGGCAGCTGAATATAGCTAAAACGAGGTATGCGAGCGAAGCCGGCGTCGACTTGCTTTCTGCGTCATCTCAAGAGCTTTGCTGAATGGCAACTACACAGATTTGCTACACACTCTTCTATTCGCTATTGCGATCATGAAGACCTGCTAATTTGACAGCCACGCGTTTGAGATAGTATCGTTGAGGTAGATGAGATGCAGATTGGCGCAACCTTTTTCTCGTGGACGATCTCTCGGATCAAGGTCAAGTAGATATGAGTACTCATAGGGTAGTTTACGCACACTTGTTCGATTGATCTGTGTCACGCACTTCGTACCGATCAAATGGCCACAAGAAATGCGTATTGTGCTGAGTCACCGCGAAGCAGTTCGTGTAGCGTTCCAAAGTTGATATTCTGTGTTTTTTGAGCTCGCGAAATGTTAAAAATGCTCGCACGTCTGCTGGTCGCACAACAAGAGGAAAATGTACGTACAAATATTGCTCGTACATTTTCTGTCGCTGTCTTGCCAGACGTGCAAGTTTTCGACCTAACTCGTAAAAAGAGCTGCGATTTGTTGTTGATCAAAGTTGTGAGGGTGATTGACGAGCGTAATTACGCAAGCTTCACACGGTGTTAGCTACGAAATGGCTCTCACGATTTTCAGACAAGGAGCTCGAATCAGCAACAACGTGACCGTGTACGAGACTCATCAACGCATAGATGAAAGGAAGTCGAACACAAATAGCATCAAGTCTTCTAAGCTGGTAATTTTTGACATGTTGATGTAAAATGCATCTAATGGACCGCTGGTTGGCTTCGACCGCGAGGCTAAGATCGCTCCATCCGGGTCGTGCGCTGCCGCTTCGCGTCTTTTGTCTTTCGCATCAACGTCGTCTGAAAAACATTGTTGCGGCCTTCGTTCGGGACAAACTCCTTGCGTTTCTTGACGTTCTTCACCTTGCCCGTGTCCAGAGTCTCATCCCAGTAATCCTGACGACCAGCATTGCGGTGCTTCCATTCTTCCTGCTTTAAAGTGTTCAACACACGGTCGTGCTTTGCCGCCAACTCGCTGTCAACGATCTCATGTGACACTGCGTCGTTACTGCTCGTCTGCGATGACTCGACGTCCGTCTCCCCAGTCCACTTGTCCACCTCGCGACCAAATAGCGACGCGTTGTGCACACCCACATTCTTGAGCTGCCGGATGTCGAACGGCACTCGTGTTGCACCTGATGGCAATACCGAAGCGTCGTGCGTGCCAGTTGTAGTAGTGCCTAAAGTCACTGCCATCTCGGCATCCGTCGTTTCTACCGGCACCTCCACCATCGATCGGGTCATCACCAGCCGTGGATATGCGTTCCACAACACCGGTCGGAACCGGTAGAGTCGGTCAACATGACTCCCAAAGTTGCATGTAAATACCCGTTGCAATCGATGGCCGACCGCACCAACAGACCGCGAGACCACCGACTGTTTCGCGGTGACTTTGAACTTCTCCACCGCCCTGTACCCATTCTTGACTTTAACTGGAACCCCCGCGACCAGAGATTTGTCAGCTCCAGCAGTCTCCACCACCCCCTGAGTCACCGACGTCTTGAGACTCGCGAGAAAGCTGTCCATGTCCAGCTCCTTTGTTTTCGTCTGCAACGGCACTGCCACTTCGACCGGAACCTCGTTCTCCACTTTTCGTTTCAACACATTTGCAACTTCTGGTTGCACAGTTTCCACTCTTGGCTTCGGACGCTCCGAAGGAGGCAACACCCGCGAGTAAAACAACATGTACGCCTTCTGCTGAAGCACCGTGTCGAGACTCACCCACCGCACCGAGTCGTCGTTCATTTCGTACCATTGACCGGACGCACCTTTCACGAAAGCGTAATAATGGCCGCAATCCGTCGAAAAGCCAGCGTGGACCAAAACGGCATGCAGTTCGTACTTAGTGCGTCCCCGACGACGGTCGTCACAGTTGTTGCTCATACCGGACGCAATGTCGAGCAAACTCGGAAACTCGATATGTCGCTTGAGCTTGCCACATGACAGATCGAACCTCTTTAACTGAATAACCAGCACATTTGGACACGCTGCGATCGTCAGACCTTTTTCGGCACAACTCTTTTTGCCACAACTGGAACACTTCCACGCATTGCAATTGTCCAGTTTCTCCACAGCTGTAAAATGTCGCAACGCACCCCGCACACTATGGACGCCATTTGATAGTTCCAACGAAAGGTCTAAAAAGTCGTCCACTCGTTCAGAAACGTACCCACATTTGGCACATTTCAGCGAACTTTTAAGCTTACCCCCAAAGATGCGGTGCACAAACGTGGTCGACGCCACTGCGTGCGTTTCACTTTTTATATGGGCTTTCCGTAAACAAGACGATTGCATGGAATCCAAAAGCAAACGGAAAAACTCGTGCGAATCTTCTTGCCGTCCAATACGGAACCGTTTCGAAATGTGACGGACGTTCATCACCAACTCTTTTGGCTGCACCACGCGCACAGCGTTTGTGCCATGTACGAGTTGCAACAGTCTCGACATACAACGGACGCTACAAAAGGAGCTATTGTGGTGGCTACTGAGCCCGTTTTTACACACAGGTTTGCCACATTTCGACATGTCATTGCCATTCGAAAAAGGTGCAACTCCGCCATTAAACGACGCAAACACAGTCTTGTCCAATAAGAATTGGGCAAAACACGGAGTGTAGGTCAGGCACTGCAACACCGAGTTGAGGTAACACGTGTTGCCGAGATTTGCGAACCCGGGTCCAATTTTCTTCGTCTGCTGCCAGACCAACACTCTCTCCACTGCCTCCATGTCCGTAAGTTGCACCAACTCTTTCTTCTTGTCCTTCTTTTTTTCACGCGAGTTGCCGTCCAATCGACCAATCACATGCACGTTCTTGGCTCGCACAAAGTCAATGCGACGCTCGTTTACTAAAGCAATTGCCGACTTGCATTGCACTTGAAAGGGAAGCACGCCATTGGCTGGAATTAACCTGTCGGTTTCGTTTCGGTCCACATTCCCGCTATGTGGTGGCGCTTTTGCAGATGACGTGACCATTGAAGGGGGTGGAGGAAACGTGGACATTAACTTTGTCGAACGCGGCGCTGCGATGAGCATTGCTGCAGTGGCGGGACCAGAAGCCCAAAAACTGGTGGCTGGTGGTCGGACGAGCGCGAGTGGAGTCGGTTTTGGAAAAAGGAAAAGGCGAAGGGGAATTAGCCAATCAACGACAAGATGAAACCAAACACGCAATTTTTGCTGTTGCTATTTTGAGTGTCGTCGGTAAAATAGGTATCGAAAGAGTAAAAGTGCGGTACTTTTTTGATCGATTGACTGCTTGTTCATCGATCCTTGTGTCATATACTGTTGGTGGCAGCTTTTACCGAGAAAGTAGGCATTGCACACTCACTAGCTTCCGATCTAATGATAGTGTTGTTGTAGTCGCTACTAGTACACCGAGCAATTGTTTGAGGTGCAGGTTGCATGCACAAAATGAGCCCGTAAAGTTGGCTTCAGATTGAGCATGTAACGGGGTGAATCGTTACATAACAATTTATAGGAAATCGTTACTAGAATATAACTATAAGAGTTATGTTCTCAGAATATTGCCATAAGGACAAATATTCTGTAGCACTTACGAGTAGTTCCCAATTGGTTGATATAGGCCATTATATCAACCAACGAAGACGCGCCACGACAGACGCACGCAATGAGTGGTGAGCAGATAGTTGATTTACACATTTGTATTTAGACATAGTTAGATGAAGATAAATAGTGATTTATTGCAGACATTAACTATTATAAATACAGTTCTACTTTTTACTCTAACCAAGTACTCGCTTCTTCTTACCGTCTTCCTCTGCACGTACGAGTGTACGTGAAGTTACGAGGCACCGCCTTATTCTGTCATCAGAATAAGTAGCTTGTACTGTCACCAGTACAAGCTTCAGGGTGCCCCGTTACACCTGGTAGCACTTCGTAGTCCGTCCAAGGACCGCGTTCACATCCAACATGAATATGTTGGATGATGAAGATGACCAAAGCTTTCACGCTACGCGTGACGGCTACTCCCATTTGAGCGATGTCGAATGGGATGCGGTTGAACAAATGGGTTCAACCATGGGCATCCATGCTGTTAGCGTCATGCTAGAGGCTCTCAATAGAGATGCCCAACATGCTACTATCGCCAAGTTCATTCAAAATGAACTTGACGCTGAACGCGAGAAAGTAGCCTTGCTTCACCAACAAGGTTCTCAACAAGCAGAGTTGTTGAGAGAACAAGGTGCTAAACAGTTTGAACTGTTGAGACAGCAGCAGGCTGCTGCTGGCGGGTCGATGCACTCGCGTCGACCCGAGACTTTGAAGATTGACATCTCAAAGTGTAGGGGAGTCGAAGAAGACTCCCTCTTGAGATGGTTCGTCGAATTGGATGACGCCATAAGGGCGCGTCGCATCGACGACGGGGATATGCAAGTTGCATTTGCCCAGTCAAATCTGGCAGGACGTGCCAAGACTTGGGCACTGGGGCTCAAGTTGCACGACCCATATGCGTTTGGGTCGTTGGAAGTCTTCAAGTCGCGGCTCAGACAAACGTTTGAACCGCCTAGAGCTGAGTTCAGGGCTCGAACCGAACTCTTGAAGCTCAAACAGGGTAAGCGTGATGTGCACGCTTACGCCCAACATATACGACATCTTACGAGTTGTATAAGTTCCAATCCGGTGGATGAACACACGTTGGTTTCGGTGTTCATGCAGGGTCTTGCGGATGGTCCCGTCAAGACTCACCTGTTCCGGCTTGAACTAGATTCACTAGAACAAGCCATTTCCATTGCGGAGCAGGAAGACTTCAGTCTGAGACAGGCTCGCGCCAGCTCGACATCATATCGTCAACCGAGACGATATGACAACGGAGGTCCAGAGCCGATGGAACTCTGTTATGTAGAGAGCGAGAAGGCTCGCTCTACAGGCTACAAGAAGTTGCAGAGATGCAACAGATGTCAAAAGACAGGACACTACGCTTACGAGTGTAGTGCCCCTCGTCCAGTGTCTCGCGACACTGGGCGTAGTGACCGTCCACCCATGAGAAAGGGGCAGGGACGAGGGTCCGCAGTTGGTGCAAAGACGCAACAACGGGATGGACCGTCAAAAAACGGACAGGATCAGTAGGTGCGGAGCACCCTACTGGTCTAGCAACGTCAAGAGAATTTGTAGGCCTCTTGATGAAGGTTGCTCCCAACACACAAACGTTGTGCGTTGCTGCTCTAGGTAATGAGGTCTCACTCATTACCTTGAAACTCAAAGTGACAAATAAGTTGTCCCTTCGAGCTCTAGTCGATTGTGGGGCGTCCAACAATTTTGTGCAACGCCAATCGCTAGAAGATGGTCACTTTAAGTTCAGTGAATGTGACACACCTCCTACGAGGATGACGGTACGTCTTGCGACAGGCGCATCCGTAACCGTCATGAAGCGTATAGTGAAGATCCACTATACGCTAGAAGATACCCAATATGACGATGACTTCATCGTATTGGATTTGGATGACAAATTTGATGTCATCCTTGGAATACCGTGGCTCAGAAGGTACGAACCACGAGTAAACTGGCAACATCGGACAGTAACGATGCCTGCCGCTTGTTTATCAGATGGCCATCTGATGAACGTTTTGGAGCGTCCACAAGCGTGTGGATGTACTACGAGTGAGTGCGATGGCCTCACTTGTGGTACGGTCGTTAGCACGACTGCACAAAACCTTAGTGTACCAAACGGTTACACTTCGGAGCAAAGTTCCGGCGGCTGTGAGGAAACACAGGCTGCGCCGAAGGTCCACCACTCGAATAAGTCGAGTGGACCGGGACAAAGATGTATCCCTAGCGGGGAACATCTGGAAGAGAAACGATCGATCGCTCAGGTTAAGCAAAACGATAATCCTAGATCGACTGGAGAGTCTTTCGTAGAGGATCTCGCTGTGGTTGCGCAACTACAGCTAGAGGAAGTAAAGGGAATAAGTCCCAAGATTACAAATACGGCGGAAATAAGTTCCCCGAAACCCGCGGGAATAAGTCCCCGGGAAGCCGAAGGAATAAGTCCTTCAAGGCCTGATGGAATAAGTCCCCAGGAAATGACAGAGACATTAAATGTCCTAGTCAATGACGGATCAAGTGTAGGCGCTTATACACTTGATCTGATTGCGCCTCCGAAGTTGACTTCGGAGATCACTCAGTTGCCAACGCTCGAACATAATAGAGGTTCTTGCGTGATCTGCATAGTGGCAAAGTCAAGCAGATCTGCGTACTCGTCGCTGACGACGAGTGTGTAACCGACATAAGGTCAGCAACAGTGTTCACTGAGAACGAGAGAGTTCTCAGTAGTTCATCTATGGACGAGAGTGTCCTAGATGAAAAGACACGAATTGAGCGATATGACTCCCAATCATGGGAATCGCTCAAGAAAAATCCTCTCTATGAAGATTTGGTTGAATTCAAGGATGTATTCCCTGAAACTGTTCCGTGCGAATTACCGAAGGATAAAGGTATTCGACACGAGGTCGAGCTTAAACCAGGCTCGAAGTACTGTGTCATGAAGCAGTGGCCACTGCCTCGTGAACAAGTACTTGCGATCGACAAGTTCTTTGCCGATCGCTTAGCTGCGGGCCATGTGAGGGAATCAACATCCCCACATAGCTCTCCGACCTTCCGTGTGCGAAAAGCAACAGAAGGGTGGCGGATATTGCATGCATTTAACAAGTTGAATGCTGCAACGGTGCCGGCTCAGACGCCGATACCGAGGAAGGACGTAATCATTGATGGTATGTCAAAGAGTACCATCTTTTCGTACATGGATTTGATGGATGGCTTCTATCAAATCCTTATGCGAGAACGGGATATACCCTATACCGCAGTTAGCACGCCTAGCGGCATGCTCTGGAAATGGCTAGTAATGCCACAAGGGCTTAGTAATGCCCCTGCCACGTTCAACAGATGTGTATCACATCTGTTGAGACCAGTACGAGAATTCGCGCCGAGTTATTTCGATGACGTATTCATCCATAGCCGAGCTATGGATGGAAAGTCGGACGTTGAGGTTCACAGGTACCACGTCCGACAGGTTCTTACAATCATGCGAAAGCATCAATTGTATGCAAACCTCAAGAAGTGTGTATTTGCAGCAAGCGAAATACCACTTCTTGGGTGCATCGTTGGTAAGAACGGTGTACGTCCTGATCCGAAAAGATCAAGACGATCACCGACTGGCCTGTGCCGGTCGATGTCAAAGGTCTTCGAAAATTCCTTGGGCTAGCGGCGTATTTGCATAAGTATTCACGCAATTACGCCGAGATGACTGTGCACCTCTCTCGTTTGTTGAAAAAGAACGAGAGGTGGTTATGGAACGCTGAATGTCAACGCTCCTTTGATGGTATCAAGCAGAGCTTGATACAATCCCCAGTCCTAGCAATAGCCGATCAGGACAGGCCATTTCATGTGGTCTGTGATGCCAGCGATTTTGCAATTGGCTGTGCATTAATGCAGTACGATCTTGAAGGCGTTGAACGCGTCGTCTGCTATCAGTCGCGTCAGCTGCAACCAGCTGAGCGGAACTATCCAGTGCATGACAAGGAACTCCTTGCCATGAAGTATGCACTCGCGAAGTTCAGAGTCTATCTATTAGGAGATAGACCCTTCGTTGTTTACACTGACCATGCGTCATTACGCACGGCAGTGAACAGCCCGCACCTTTCACAACGAATGGCGCGGTGGTTGTCATTCTTTGCGGAATACAACTTTACGGTCGAGTACAAACCAGGACGACTTAATGTCGTCGCTGAAGCACTCTCACGTCGTCCCGACTTTGAAGCAGTCGTGAAACCCAACAGTGAGACAGTCACTGTTGCGGTTATGACGTCCTCAGTCCCATCTACAACGTTGTATGATGATGTGAGGCGGGAATACGCCAAAGATGGTGAGATAGTGAAGTTGTTGACACATCTCTCCCAACCATCTCGAGAATCGTTGAAACGATTGTCGTCTGCGTATCGATCTGCATCAGATCGATACACTACTCGCAACGGTTTACTGTACTATACAGCCGTATCTGGTGACACACCACGTGTTGTCATTCC